GACTTGCGCAACTAGCTTGTCCCTGCCAACTACTTGCACAAGTATAGCGCGAATTATGTGGATGTGACACGCCATTATCGAATCTCCTGAAGAAGGGTGAAAAATGGTGTTGAAACACCGAGCACCGTAAGCCTTATGACAAAGTCAAAGACAGCCTCCTTCCTGCGCCAATGCTGGCGTTGCCAGACCCGATTGTCCTTTCAGTGCTGTCTGTGACGCTTCGGACTTTGCCACTAGCTGTGCACTGCTGCAAGCAGACGCCGAGGGGCGAGATCTGGTGACCGCGTTAAATCTCGCCAGCTCAAGGCAGTGGAGAGGAACTACCCAAATCACCACAACAAGTTACTTGCGATGAAGTAAGCACTTGTCAAGTTCAAGGTGTACCTGCTTAGCTCTAAGTCATTTGTGATCTACACAGATCATGCGTCATTACGCAATGCGACTCAGTCGCCTCACCTATCGGAGAGGATGGTCAGGTGGCTCTCCTTCTTTGCAGAATATAACTTTAAGGTGATGTATAAGCCAGGAAAGCAGAATGCTTTGGCTGATGCACTGTCATGCAGACCGGTTTATGAGCTTGCTCATGTCACGACGTTGACGGCGTCAGTGACGGATTCGATCCTCGCCGCACACGCGGGTGACAATATGTGTGTAGCACTGCTACAGGCTTCTGGGAGCAAGGAGTTTGGAAACTCGGACAAGAAGTTGTCGTCGCGATTGCGCCGATCTCCATTGAATAACGGGTTGCTGTATGATGGCACCCATTTGACGGATACGTCACAATTTGTTGTTCTTCACGATCACGATTTGTTGTTCTGCACGATCACGATTTGAAGTATCGTATCCTCTATGAGGCCCATGATACCCCCACTCAGTGGTCATCTCGGCCGTAAGAAGACGTGCAACTTAGTGAGTTGCCACTTCTTGTGGCCCATGCTGTACAAATGGACGAGCACATATGTGCGCACATGTGAGACGTGTCAGAGGCTAAATCCCTTTTCAAATGCGTCGGCGCCGCTAGCTAGTTTACCGGTACCCTCCGGATGTAGGCAGTCCAGGAGTACGGACTTTTTGTTTTTTGGCCTGCCGGAGAACTCGGCGAGCATCACGGGGGTTGTGGTCTTTTTCGACCGTTTGAGCAAGATGGCTCATCTTGCGGCGGTGCCGGACACTGTCGATGGTGTCGATACAGTGACGCTGTTTGTCAATCGTGTCTTTCGACAAAATGGACCTCCGATTTTAGTTATCTCTAAAAGAGACCTAAATTCACTGGTCAAACTGAGTGCGTGAACCGCGTTGTCAAAGATATTTTTCGTAGCGACTGCGCTGGGAAGACGAAGCGTTGGAGCGCGGTGCTGCCACTCATGGAGTTTGCTCTGAACAATGCAGTGCATGCGTCTGCCGGCTACAAGCCGTTCTACGAGAATGAGCTTTTTAATCGTCGCGCCATTTGGCTCGGTGGGGTAGGAATAGCCGGACGGCTAGCTGATGTCAGCGCATCTCACTGTCCGTAAGGAAGCCGATGACTCCCTGTCTACCAGACTGGGTGTCCTACGACACATTCACGATGCGATGGCTTAAAGCCAAGACATGCCGATGGAATATAAAGCGAAGAAATGTTGAAAATATTCGTTTTATTAGATGCAAAACCTTCCTACACATGCAGTCTCCGCTGTCTTCAAAACGGAACTCCGTCCTTGGTTTATTGGAAATTTTTAGGGCGAAATCTTGCGTATACGCTGAACCTTCCGAGAAGTATGCGCACGCACCCGGTTTTTATGTGGGCTTGCTTTAGCCGTTCCGGGATCAGGCGCAAGTGAACGCGGAAGGGTTGGCGCTAGGGCGGCGCCTAAAGGCATTCGGCCAACAAGAAGCTGAACCAGTAGCTGGTTTTGAGCACGGAGTGCAACGATTTCCATTACCAACTGTGCCATCCGCTCCACTGTCACACGAAGTGACGTATTCGCTTGCTCGACGGCTACGAGCCGCTGCGACAGAGCGCGATAGTCCTCAACGTGATGCAGTCGGTGCACAAAGTGCTCCAAGCTCTCGTGGTCTTCCGTACGGCGGTATGCGACCTTGGCGAGATGCTCGGCGGAGTGCCGATGACGACGAACCCCGTCCTGAAGGACTCGTAGAGTATCGCGAGCTACTGGACGGCGATCGACCGAGTTGTCATCGTTCCCCGCCGACTCTTCTCGATTAAAACGGCGACGTCCACTTTCACGTGGAACGCCTTGTGTGTCGACGTCGTCGACAGGGTCAAACCCAATATCTTGTGAGGTGGCAGGGATACACAAAGCCCGAGGGTTCGTGGGAGTTTGATATGCCACTTCGACAAGACTGCTCAGATGTCATGGACGCTTATGAAAAGAAGTATCATGACGCTTCGCGTCGTCATACGCTCCGCGCTTCTCGGAAGCAGACCGGTAAGCCGAAAGGTCATGAGCTGAGCTAAAGCTATGGCCCTGAACTGCTGTGGTCGTCGACTTACTCGTGTGAGAAACCACAGAGCTCGCGGGAGCGTGATGAATTATTTTATATGTCGCAGGGCGGCAATACAAAAGTTTTCGGCCTTGCCCCTTAAGTTTTGCAGACTCAAAATCAAAGGTGGCGTTCTACCCGCACGTACATTTTCTTGTGGCTCCGCTGTACGGACAGCGGTGAATGTTCCGGTGCCGCTGCACCCATCGCTCAACGAGCTCTTCATCGCCTGCAGCGGTTTCGCCAGGGACGAGCACCACAGGAATAGTCCGCATCGCGGGTACAGGAGCGTCTCCACTTTGAGCGCAAAGTCGAGCGCGGTAGCTATCCATTAAAATATCTTGCGGTACCAAAAAGTGAGCTCGGAGAGATTTTCGCTGAACAAGCTCAGCTTGTATAGTGGCCGGGGGCCCGACTTCGTAGACGCCTAACGATCGAGTGATCGCGTCATTCATTTAGGAGCGGGATCCGCCGAGCGGAAGTCGTATTTCACACGAGTGTCAAGGACCAGACGTGGATACTAGCGCATGAGAGCCGCCTTGTGGGCAGCCTCCAACTGCTGCTTCTGTGTCTCGTCGAGGCAATTCGTAATAATAACACTTCTCACCGAAGTCGGGATTTCGGGAAACGGACACGGTGTCCGCAAGGTTCAAACAGGGCTATTGTCGCGCCATTGACGCATCTTACCCGCCTCTTCTCTCATCCTGATAAAGAAGTATCCGACTCGTAGTCGCTTCCTCCGAATCGTCGCCGAAAATTCTGTCGCCCGTGGCAGGCGGGGTGTCTGGCGCTCGGTCGCCGAGGGCTTGGGATGTGTTTCCCGTGGAGCTGTCTGGGGATGCACCAAGTGCAGAAGGCGAAGAAGGGCTCTGCCCGCGGGCGCCCTCGAGGCCAGCTAGGCTGAGTGTTTTCGTGTCATATACACATGGCGCATTAAGCAGACCAAGTGTAACGATGGTTCTAGGGACGTAATGGTGTTTCAGACACGCTAGCCTCGTACGAGGCAACAGTTTAGTGTGATTTGCGGGTATTCAATAGTTTGATGGTGGAGACTGTAAAGGGGGTTACACGCACCCTTGTATGAAAGGGTGGGTCACACAAGATGGTGTGACCGTACAAAGGTGCGGCTTACAAAAAAAAAATTAATGACTTATATAACGTTGAGTGCACATTTCTGTGCGCTGACAATTTGATCGAATGTCTCACACTATAAATTGGATGCTGTGTTAGTGCTATATCAAACAAATTTGTCCAGAACTTCGTGTATTTTGGCACGATGGAACTAGTTTATCGTAGTGAAGGCTTTCGTGTTAATTCAAATGCATATTTCATTAATTTTTAAATGTTTTTTAATTTTACGATTGAACCGTTTTTTATACACTTGGGATGTGGAGATAATTAGTGCCATATATCTGTGTCTTTAAGATATTAGATTGTATGATCGAAGTATCAGTTTTCTTGAAAACGAGACTGTTGAATTCTTTTGTGTGTGTTTATTAGCAGGGTGATTCATTTGGACATCAACTAAACATTAAACTGTTTTGTGATTGTATTGGATGATTCATTTGACCTAGCAATATCATTTATATCGTGCTAACCATCATTGTATATACTAAGCTAAATAACAATGACGAGTGTCGACGCCATCAAACTGCTATATCGGAAAGGCTGACACAATGCAACATAATAGAACCTAGTAGTTTGACATAAATCTCTTATCATAACCCTAGGTTTCAGAGGTGCGGTATGTCAATAATATTCAATTTGGGGCAGCATGGGAACAGGCCGACTCGATGACTTTGTAAGGAATGATTCTTGTCTTAAACCCCCTCTAGCTTAGAGGAGATAAACTTTGATGCGAAATCCTATACGACGATTTCGCCATCTGATAATCAAATCAAATTTTTAACATAGCTGATTGTCAAAGTTCATTATAATGCGGAGAACTGCTGACGCGCAATTAAGTTTTATCAAGTGTATGCTCAAGTGCTTAGAAAGGGGCGAGCGCAATATAATTTGAAGTGTGAAAACATGCACATTAGTCGACAACATCACATCAATATTGAAGGCATACCGAAGTTGCCGTGCATTTTGCATAGAAAGGGTTTTGGACGCACAGGGGTTGCAGTCGTACGTTTCTACCGGGAGCAGAACATTTGAGGTCAATAACACTGTTAGTTAGATTTGCCATTTCAAGCGTGTACATATTAAGAATATATGCTACGTAAACAAATGCTTAGTATATATTTAATTCTGTCATTATAGATATGGCTTAAATTTTTGACGTGCAGCCTGAAGCCAACGCAAACCTTGGACCCCTTCTCTTCGGGGTTCCGTCATCTACATATTCCCGTATCATATTACCCATGCATATACACAATCAGACAATAGTTGTACCATATTGTTACGTTGCTACTGTAACCAATGATTCAGCGGTAAGTACACATGGGTTACTATCCTCGCCCCGACACACCCTCCAGACTTATAAGTCTACACTTAGTTTGTCGTCTATGACTATGCTCAAATGTGCCTGCTCCCTGAGCAACCATAAGCCTTGCACCAACTCTACCCTCCGTAGTTCCCCAATTTAGCCTCTCAAAGCAAATTCCATTGGTATTAGCCTCCAGTGCACCAAGCCAAATAACTGAACAAGCCCTCAAAAACCAAAATATTCACATTGACGTGCCGGGAAAGTCTCCAAGAGAATGCCGTTGTGCTCTTGAAGAGAGAGCTCCTAGTGACTCACCAATTTCTGACCCAACAACTTTGCTCGTACCCGGCGAAATCGATCTTGCTGTTCCCTAAGGAGAAAACACACATGACAAACGGCCGAGCGGTTTCCCAAGAAGAGGGAACCCACTGCACTGAGACTTCTCGTTGCTCAAGTCTCGACCTCCGTTTCCAGGGTGGGGATTGTTTAGGCACTTCGCCGTGAGGTTCAAGAAGATGTCTATGTTGTAACCAACAACTTACACTTGGCTCAATTACCGAATTTTCTCTACTGCGAGCGGAAGGTGCCAAGCATTATGCCAGTCCGTAGAAACCATTCGCTCACACAGAGCATAAAAAGCACGAAAGAGTCATTGGCGAGCGCTCCTGCTGCTTAAAATTACTGTTTGAAAGGTGTACCAACCGTATTAAGAGCAGTCATTAAAGTAAAAAATCTCCTTTTTGTATCATTAAAAAGGAAAAAAGGAGTCAGGGCCAATTAGAAACAAAATGAGCTCGCGCATTGGGTGGGAAAACAATTCTACCATGATACGAATTACAAGTTATCTTGAGCAAAGCAGATAGCCGACAAGATCGTCATTTGATGTCTGACATTGCAAGTTACAAAGGGAAAACCGGGTGTCGATGTGACAAGCTATCACCTAAAACTGATGACGTCTACAATCTGGATAGTCTACATGAGACAACTGTAGCGGCTGCCGACCAAGGGTCTTTTCACCGCAAGCTCAATCGACTCCCACTGGGAAATATTATTTTAGGAGGGGCGACTCTTCCTTTTCTCGAGGCCGAGCTGCAATAGATTGGTAAAAGCCACGTCTTCAGATCAACATGTCGAAGTGGAACATCCACGACTTTTCAGACTGACCAATAAATTTCCACTTCACCAGGTACAAGTAACATCCTGGTGTATCCGCTGGATTGCCAAACGGTCGACGTGAAAATGACTCGCCCCATGCTCCTTAAGCAATGCCGACAGAGGTCAACGATTCTTCGATGACTTTCATTGGATTCGTTGGTTGTGGTCGCACGTCGAATCTATATGACAGACAAATAGCGTTCATGGCAGAGATAAGCCAGAATGGGGTATGCACTCTAGAGTGTTCCATCGCACTGCCTGGTTTAGGGCCTCTCCAGCGGTCCTGAGCTACATCGTTGCTATGAATCATAGGATTGCTCAGCTTTAAAGAATTTCGTAAACGTTGGACCATCTTCAAGAGAGTTCTTCATGCCCGACTGGCTCGTAATATCGGGGTCCGTGGTATGTCTTTAAAGGCCTAACCAAGAACACGGGATGTGCTTGCATGCTCTTTAATATATGAAGAGCATGATTTAATCAAAATGGATCGTAGATGCTGCATGTATAGATAGGTCAACCACATTCAATGCTATGTATTGCTCCATTGCATACTCATGTATGACCCGTCCTCCTCTGCTGCTTTTGAACACCTTGACCCTCAGCAGTAAAGTTGCACTCCCGGTGCATAATGCTGATTCTCATCAAAATGAGATTGCTGATTTGGTTCGAAGTGTAGTCAAGCTGATACCAGCAATTTCTTTTTATTTTTTCACCAGGGCCAGAGCGACGTCACGTAGGTGACAGGAGCACATAGGTTAATCAACCGTTAAAACACTAATTGTGAAATTGTGCACTGCGTTACTGATCTAAAACTAATGAGTTGAGAAAACAAATCTAATATTGCGAACTCGTTACAAAGGAGGTTCGATGGATATCCTCCACAAAGTGATTCACGCGTTTGTCTGGACAACGGATAATCATCGGGTGATGTGTCCAATAAGTGTCAAACATCTTGAACAATGTTACCAAAAAATTGTTGATATGTGCGGATTAATTCAGCGCTATGGCTTCCAGTGAAAAGCCATGATAGCATTAAACATTGTCGAGAAACAACTTGACCGTATTCTCACTGTTCACATTGTCGCTGACTTAGCTGGGTGAGCCACGATTGCTTGGACGGTCTACAAGCCCATAGTACCGATACTACCGGTCGTGACTTTCTTTCCAAAATTAAAATTTTACTGATGGACCATCAGCACTATAAAAGCTGCTGGCTGGTAAACGGATATCGCGATGCTCTAACCCTTGACACGTTTCATGCATACACTCATGTGTGCGTACGCGCTTATACTTAAAAACTCATTAATTTATAGTGCTCGCCAAGCAATATGCTTTTGAGTTTTGACGTAGCCACTCAATGGAAAGTTAATGCCTTGCATAGAAGTGTGTTCCAGAGGTGCTCGTCGTTAAAACACCAATCCCTTAGTGTAATATGTAATTCAACGAGCCTCGGGATGATACAAGGGTGTAACCGCGGCTGAATAAAGCGATATCGGTGTTGCTACTCGAAGCTTTAGGTAGTGTAACACATATTGTGCCTAGGGAAGTCATCATTGTGTCATGCGACAATACAAAGTAGGGGTGATGCTATCGCATCCACCGCCACATTAAACCAATCCGGCTTACACCTCACCACGAATGAATACTCGACAATGCAGTACAACCAACTCTTCATTTGCTTTGAAAGCTGTGGTGACAATAACACTGAGCGTGTCGACGCATGATACTGATAGATCACAAACGACTTTGAGCCAAGCCGGTGCATCCTGAAGTTGACGATGGCGCAAAAGAATCGAAAGTAATTATTCAACATATAGGACAGTTCATTTCAGCATCTGTAAGCTGGCAAAATGCAACCGCGGTCACGTATTAATGTCTTTGGAGTCTGCTGGGAGAAAAACACAGCCTATTGCAGAGCCTGAAGTGTCACAGACGACGCGGAATGGCCGATTTGGATTTAGAATCGAGGCACGTATGAGACGTTCTGTCATATTCTTCGGGGCATCTTCTAGCGTCATTTGACGTTCTCTGATTCCGAATTAGTTGGTGGTTGATCGTGCCGATCGCATAAGATATCCAGTAGTTGTGCAAGTCGTAGGTCATGCTCCTCAAGTTCTGTGGTAACTGATAAAGTGACGATTTCACTACGACATACATCTTTGTGGGATTTGCCTGTTTCCTTGGTAAGATGCATCGCTGTGTGACGCGACAGTGCGACAAGGATTCTCAATAACCAAGGGGTTCTTTGTGTTCTTTATTGTGGTTATTAGATAACTAACACACGTGTTTACCTTGGGATAATCTTAATTGAAATCAATTGTGATTGGGGCATCATCTGCGTCACGAAAACAAGATTTAAAAGTTTACTTGACTTGGTTTCCACGACCAAATTTCTCTTCGGTACCAGCTGTATTGTTTACTGATATCTCAATGCTTCGCAATTCCTTGAAAATAATTTCATGGATTAATTTTTGTAATACTATAAAAGTTTTTGCTTGAGGTAGTGCGGGAATTCTTGCTATCAACTTCACCCGTCGCTTCTCTCACAAACAATACTATCCCTCGTCTCTTCCCTCTCTGTACATTCACACGTTATCGCTGACTCAGCACATCCGTCACGCTGTGTTAATCTTCTTACGTTGAGCCCAATATATTTACTTGTGACTTACAGTCGCTCTTCAGCTCCATTGGCTGTGACATGGAAGATTGCGACATTGGTTGCTTCCACTCTCCACCGGGTAGGGACTAACTCGCTGCCGTATTACTTCACCCCAGCAGAAGTAACTCACCGGATAGACGTCTTGGCATAAATACACTCTATAGATCGCGATACGCGATAGATTCTACCGTTCAATGTTTGTGATTGCGGCTCACTCCCGCTTCCGCCTTTTGATCTCAAGTAAAGCACCTTGCATACAAATGCACTCAATGTAGGACAATTCATGCTCTGCACAGAAGCTATTGCCGCTTCGTACTTGCACCAAATGTGCTTCTGTTTCCTGGTAGAGGTGAGTCCAGGACTTGCCAATGCTTTACTTATTTTGCGGCTGGAATGTTATATCTATAGGTCGACTGAAAGCTGAAAAAAAGAGAAGCTAGAAACATTGGACAACATCCCACGTTATAAAGTCCTCAGCCTCCGCCTCATATTTTTGAACCAGTGACCTCGTCGCAAGATGCACAAATATCGCATCCATATTTGGCTCCCCGAGACCTGTCTCCTGTATTGTACAAGTCTCGCGTCTTGCGAATTTTCTAAATCTATTAAGGCTTCCCACAGCCTCACAATGCCGGGCACTTTGATATCAATAACGAACTACGTATGCAATGAGCTCACCCCTAAAAATAAGCCCTTCCTTTGAGGGCTGAGTCCCATAGACCACGATGTACAATCGAGTCAAGTTTTATGTCAATAGGCTACCTTGCGCTATTGTAATTCGACAACTCTTCTCCGAGAGAGTTGCTGTCCGCCCTTGTGTGTATACCCGAACCGTTTGACCTCTTTACGGCGAGCAAAGGGGCGACGAGGTTTGTATCGTACTTCCAATGACTACTTTAAGCAGTGGTGGGTGTGACATATGTGGACTGCATTTGAATACTTCGTTTATTCGGAAGTAGTTGTAAACTCAAAAGTATATGTTTTGTTGCTATAGCGCCTGTCGTTAATGGTTATCGCGCACTTTCTAAGAATCTACATTAAATTCAAAGAGTTAATGCGAGCGAATGTTTGCTCTCGCTCGGCTTCCATGGCTCGTCAGGTGGTTTCGGTTGTACGCTGCTTTGCAAAAAGAAAGCATAACCAACGTGATGAGCTCAAGACCAGCACAGGATCAAGATTAGCTCGAGCCAGTGCCGCAAGTTTTCGCATGTCGATGGACGATGCCAATGTTGGCGATGATGAGCCTGAAAGTGGTGACGAAGACATTCTTATTTCTCTTCCAACATCGTGTAGAGCGTGGCGAGTGTATCATCGAGAGAAACGTGCGCATGACTACACCAAGAGGAGATTGGTGGCAACCTTTCAACGCGAGACTAAGCTTTTGAAGCTTGTTGCGAGTATTGACGGACGGGTTGAAGTTGTAGAACGCACGGCAATGGAAATGGCGGATCTGGAGGCTGCAATGATGAGATTTGAGATGAAGCTAGATACTCAGGTACAAGAACTAGTGATGCAAAACGACCTTATACTCAAACTGGAAGCTTCGAAAGCTCAGTGTCAGTTTTACAAAGAGCGTCTGTATGAAACAAATGCTACTCTGTTAAAGTACAGGTCCAAAACTCATGAAGCACACTTAAAGTTGCTATCAAGCGAGCTGGAAAAGGAGCGAATTACAGAGGAGCTGAAGTTAGTGACGAAGGCAGCAGTGCTGGCAATAAATCGTCAGTTTGTCCATGTCGACGCACGAAACCACGCAAACGTAAGCAAAAAAAAAGTTTCTGATTTCTTTTCTTTCCTTTGATCCCTCACGTTATTTCGACTGTACACTACAGCAGCGTAAAAATCTAAGTGATAGTTTCTTACACATTCAATCTGATAGTAATATAATTTAAGATTCTAACGTTTGCAGCAACGCGTTTGCCGTTAGCATTTCATCGCTGTTGCAATTTTCATACATGACCTCGACCAAATCTCGAGCAAACCCCATCGCAACAAGCTAACAGCAGACATTAATTAAGTTAGCAACAAGCTATATACACAATAATCAACAGTATACCGCACTCGATCAATGGCGTTGGTTGTGGGATTGCTTGTTGAATCCGATGCCTTTAAAACATCGACATTACTGGCATCATCACTTGACGTATGTATTGCACGTAAAGATGGTGCCGGGACAGGCAGCAAAAGTAGCTGCAGTGTCGCCATCGAATTCTCATTAAGTTGATCTAAAGCCTCTGATGAGAATGTTTCTTTCAGAAAAAGTAATGCGCGAAACGAATCAACTGCTGCCAACTTTCGTAACTTCATCAAATCTCCATCATGCACCAAACTTCGGAGCGAAAAGGGATACTGTGAACCTAAGTTGGTCGTCACCTGGGAATTCATGTCTTTGGTTCCCTTGCACAAATTTCCTTCTGCCAGCAAAGCAGCAGCATCCGAGAGATTACAACCGCATTCATGCAATGCCTGAGCTGCTAAATCCGCTGAGAATCCCATTTCCACAAGTTGAGCTCGCTGCAATTCAAATATCGCGGGATCTGCTTGATTCTTGTGCATTTCACAGCGAGAAATCGACTGATTGCCAGTCTGCACGTTATCGGCTACAAACACGAAGAAGTCCGTCGGGAGTAAAGCGTTGAGGTCAACGATATCTGGATCAGCCAAAATATGGCCTCGAAGCAGCACAAAACTGTTTTCGAGATCCGCAAGCTGCAAACGGAATGACGTGGCAGCAATTTCGCTGGAAGAAAGTTGATGTCGATGCTGAAGGATCAACTCCTTAAGATCTGCCACTCGTATACTGTGCTCGTTAGCGCCATGACGCTCCAACAGCAGCTCGCGCCCGTCATCTACACAACGCACACGAAGAAGTAGCATCAAGTCACTATTTCGTAGTATTTAGACGCACATACCGGTAATGTTTAAAAGTGTTGGAGTCTTTTTACCTGCACTGACCACACAGGCAATGATGGACGTACGGAGGTTTTGTGATTCGCCCAACAGCAACGATACAGAAAATTAGCACACAACATGAAAGATGCAGTGGCAAACAGATTTTAAAGTTAAGACTATGCTGGTGATGAAGTGCAAAATGATATTTGCACTATCCATCTGTGTGAGGAATGTTGAATAGCATTATTTGAGATAGGACAAAGAGCACTAAAGTACTGGTTCTTTGGTCTTTCAAGTCACGTTTGACAATAACGGAGAAGGTCTAAGCCGTGTCCCCTGAGCAAGCAGCAAAAACTTGATTATATTTTTCGTTCTGTCTGCTTTTTGTGCGATTGACGTGGATGTGTTTTTGCAATGAAAACTTGTGCAGGAAGAGCACAAACTCATAGTTTTGAAGGCTCAGTGTTTGTTAAAGTGTCAATTATTGATACTCATTAGTGGGATACTTTATCAGAGCTGGCAAAATTAGGCACGCAGCACAAGAAGTTAATATTGATGTGTACTTCTTCAAAGCAAAAATGCTGATCACAAACCAAAAAATAAGACAAAATTCTATTTAACAGGTCTTTAAATTACTCAAAGATTTGTCGGGCCGGAGGAGGCGGCGGTAGGCATTGAGTTGGTACAGCACACATTATGGACGGCATTTTCAGCGCAAAGGTGCGTGCAAGTGTTTTACCTGGGGCCACATTGACCATACACTTCTGCATAAAGTCATCGTATTGCATATACTGTAGCCGCTCTTGCAAGTGTCCGTACTGAATAAGGGAATTGGGTGCGAGTAGGACGTGGTCGCATCGTCCACCGCTTAATTGTGCTAAGTAGCAGATGACATCATTCATGACAGTCATGGGCGTCACACTTCCACGGGTTTGTGAAAACCATTGCGGATGTTCAATAGTCTGTGCATTGGCTGCATTCGCAAATTCTTCCAGCGCTTCGTGATCCCAGCAAAATAGAATTGCCGGGTTGTGGTCAGTCACGGAGATGCCAGATAGGTACGTATTAATCTTGGACACCAATTCTGCATCAAGGTTTTCAATGTAGTGATTCCCTATCGACAACGCGATGCGCAAAGCAATTAGCATAGCCTAGTGATTAATCACGCAAACAAAGCATGTACCATTTAGCTGCATTCTTGCTTTGTCAATTGGTCAGCGGTAGTAGTAGTGAGCCGTTTGGGAAATGATAATGAGCTGCCTTGCGCGTTTGGAGAAGATGGTCTCGAATGAGAGTCTGGTGCAGATAGCTGCACTTGGAGGAGTGACGTTTCGGACAGTTGTAGCCACCACAAGAAAAATTAGAGTACAATCAACAGTCCAGTCTTCCAGTCTTCATTCATGCTTTGCAATTGAGAGGAAAGAGCGAAATATTGAATGCAATTACATAAGCTCGTTTCAAGCTACCAATAAGATGATTTTCGGAGCTGTTGATGGTGTCTGCACAAATGGGCATGTTCAAAGTAAAAGATTGTCCAGTTTATGTTTCATTTAATTGATGAATGTGCAAAGGAAGTGGACAGTGGTCTTCTGGACACACGGCAGATATTGCGGTGACCGCGGGCGCAAAGCACTTTTCTGCAAGAATACTCTTTCTTTATGATTTATCTGAATGCTGCTGTATACCGTACTTTGCCGAGGACAGCCCACATAAATGATTACACGTAGCACTATCTGCGCTGGCAATGGAAGCTCAATTGGTATCTTAGCTGTAGGAGACGTGGCATATTAGTCGAATCATGAGTTCTCCACATACGCAACGGGAGCTAATCCAACACTTGGTAGCTGAATAATCTGATCGAGAACTGTGACAAGGATGTCTCTAAATCGCCTCAGGTACAAGTATGGCTTATACTTACGTTACTCCAAGGCTTTGTAGTGATATAATTCAATTTTTTCTCATGTCTGCTCATCATCCGAAATCAAAGCTTAGCACTCTCTCTTATCCTCGAGTGAGGCCACAGGACATTAAGAAAATACTGTCGAGGTCTTTGATAATTGCATAACCCAGGAAGAATAAATGCACTGACCCGAAAGAATGGATCCTCATTCAAGAATATGTTTATGCAGACGGAACGATAATGCAAGCTTGCATCATTAGCATATATCTTACTATGCCTTCTACACTGCTGTACCCTACTATGGATTATGTTCACAGAACGATCTTGCCCACCAAACTTGGTGCAATGAGGTTGCCGGGAATCTTGCACAACGCAAGCGTTGACTCAGTGTCCGCGCTGACAATCACACAAAGAAAGGGTTCCTACACTCCACCCGGCCTGCATCAAGAATCAAGTCGAACTTTTAAGCTTACACAATATATCTTCTATTTTTTTAAAATATCCAAAGATAAAATCGACATGTCCCATGGACCCTTCCTTTTAGTAGCCCCACAATTACCCATCTTTGGCATCTCTTCGCTTAAAGCAATTATACAAAAGTTTAATATATGCGTACAGAAACACCATCTCCCACAAAATGTGGACAATGGGGCTTACACTTATTTTGTCTTTTAGGACATTGAGCATAGCACGCTTAACGAGCACTCCATTCATGTGCCCTACAGAGCAAACTCTTACAAGCAAACTCGCATCAGGAGTCCTATTCCTTGCATACATGTGATGGGCCACATATGAGAATTACATGACGGATGATCTCTGTTGAAATGGGGTCACACAAGATGGTGTGATCACGCCATGGAGTGGGTCACACGAGATGGTGTGATCACATGATAGTGTCGGCTTTACAAGATGGTGTGATTACACAATGGTGTGGGTTACACAATATGGTGTGACAAAACAATGGTGTATCTACACTGAAACAACATGTCAGTACGTGGCTGGAACTGCAGCGGGGCTGCCGTAGCTCTTTGCTTAGAGGAAGCGAAGCTAAGGTCACCGACCTTGCGTTCTTTCAAAGAACCAGTACAAGTGTAGCGAATCCCAATGCGCTACTTTTAAGTACTAAAGCCTAACAAAGGTAAACGAACACTTCTGTTCAAAAGCGAAACTGTATTTGATTGTTTTAGTTGCGGCAGAGCCGCCAATATCGAAAGCCCAAGGTTTTTCTAATTAATATAACAAACCTATTTAAAATGGCAAAACCTGATTACTAGAGGAATATGCATTACTACTGGCAATCCTACCACATGGTGGCCTCTTATTACGGTGTAGCCACACCATTGTATTATTACATAACTGTGTAATACACACCGATGTACGGCCGCACAAGATTGTGCGACCCACTCTTTCTCACAAGTGCACGTGGTAACCCCGTTACAATCTCCCCCATCAAAATTGTGCCCCATTTCGCATTTAACGGTCGCCTCATACGAGCCTCGCATGTCTGAGACACATCAACGTTTCTGAAAAACAACATTCTCCCCTCTATGACCCCCTGTGTATACAACACGCAAAATTTCCAACCCAGCTGATAGCGAGGGTGCTCGCGGGCAAAGTTCTTTTCTTCTTCTGCACAGGGTACATCTGCGGACAGTACGCCCGCGGCTCCACGGGAAGCACATCCCAAGCCCTCGGCAGCTAGGCGCAATACACTGCGCCCACCCCGGGTGACGGGTTTTTTCTTCGAGGGGCTGGAAAAAGTCGACTACGAGTCGGACATTTCATTTCCAGCATGGATGACGAGGAAGATGAGGTGCGCCGACGACGCGACGTTAGCCTAGCTCAAACCCTGCGGACACCATGTTCGCTCTCCGACTTCTTGGCTACCGGGGGGAAGTGGTATGATTACCAATCGCCTCGACGAGTCACAGGAGCAGCAATTGGAGGCTGCTCGAAGGGCGACTCTACTGCGTTCGTATCCACGTTCTGTCTTAGACCCTCGTGTGGAATTCGGCTTCCGCACGGCGAATCCCGCTACCGAAGCGAAAGACGCGATCACTAGATCGCTAGGCGTCTACGTAGTCGGGCCTCCGGCCATTACACAAGCTGAGCTTGACCAGCGAAAAGCTCTCCGAGCTTGCTTTTGGTACCACAAGAGATGCTAATGGATCGGTACCGCGCTCGACTTCGAGCTCAAAACGGAGGTGCTCCTGGTCCCGCAATGCGAGCCATCCCTATGGTGCTCGCCCCTAGCAAAACCGCTGCAGATGATGATGTGCTCTTTGAGCGATGGGTGCAGCGACACCGGAAACTTAGCTCGCTGTCTACCTTACAGTGAAGCCACAAGGAAGTGGGCATGCGTGTTGAGCGCCATCTTCGATTTCAGTTTGCCAAACTCAAGGCGCAAAGCCGACTTTCTGCGTATCGCCGCACTGCGACATGTGGAACTATCCATAACGCTATCGCGAGCTCTGTATATTCTCAGACGGGTGAGTCTGCAACCAAACCAGCTCATGGCCCTTGCTTGAGCTCGGCTAATGGTGCTCCGGCTTCCCGGGCTACTTCTGAGGGGCGTGGTGCGAAAGACGACGCGAAGCGTCATGATCCATCTAATTATGAGAATTTACGTCGTCAGGGCAGTCTTGCCAAAGTGGCACCACGAACTCCCGCGAGCTCTCGGAAATCGAACACAAGCCGTTCCACGTGATAGTGGACGTCACCATTTTCATCGAGAAGATTCGGCGGCGGGCGATGACGACGGTCGATCCACGTCCGGTGACTCGCGATGATCTTCGAGCTCTTTAGGACAAGGTCCGTCGTCATCGGCACTCTCTCCGAGGTAGCATAATGCTGTGTGGAAGACCTCGAGAGTCTGGAGCCCTTTGTGCACTGATTGCCTCGCATTGAGGATTATCGTGCTCTATCGACTCGTAACTATCGAGCAGCCAAATACGTCACTTCGTGTGACGGTGGAGTGCCTTGCGCCGTTGAAAACGAAAGTTGTTGCGTTCCGTGCTCAAACTCAGTTGCTGGCTCAGCTTATGGGTGGCCTAGCGCCTTTGGGCGCCGCCCCGTCGCCAACGCTTCCGCGTTCACTTACGCCGGATCCCGGAACGGCTTAAGCACGCCCACATAAATATCGAGTGGGAACGCATCCTTTTCGAAAGGTTCAGCGTATACGCTAGGCCTCCCCTGGCCACCCCAAAAAAATAGTCAATAAACCGTGGACGGAGCTTCGTCATACGATAGCAGAGACTGCGTATGTAGGAAGGTTTTAAGCGTTCAATAAAACCATGTCTCCGACCTCAATGCTTTCAACATTTTTTCTTCCTTTTCTGCATGTCTTGGCTTTCAGCCATCTTATCTCAAACGATCAGCTAGCCGTTTGGCCATTCCTCCCCCACCAAGCCCTAATCCATGGAATGGCGGCGTCAGCGGGAGGTGAGGATTAACAAGCTCATTCACGTAGAACAGCGTGTACCCGGTAGATGAATGCACTGCATTGTTCAGAAATTAAACGAGTGGCAGCAATTCTTCGGCATCTCAGTGCAGACGCTGCGAAGAACGTCTTCAGCGACGCGATTCACGCGCTTAGTCTGACCATTGGTCTGCGGATAGTCCGCTGTTGACATAGTCAACTTGGTGACGGCGCCCTGAAGTTTGTAGACCAAACCTTCCCAGTAAAACGCGGGTCTTTTTCTGAGACAATTGACTTCGGGAGCTCATGTTGTCAACAAACAGCGCCGCTATACCAAGTGTTCAGCACTACCGCAAGATGAGCCATCTTTCTAAAACGGTCCACAAAGACGATTACACCCGTGTTGCCCGCTGAGTCCTTCGGCAGGCCAAACACAAACTCCATACTTATGGACTGCTAACACCCGAAGGATACTGGAACCTTAGCCACCGGCGCCGCCGCATTCGGAGAGAGTTTCACGCTTTGGCACGTCTCACACATGCGAACCTTTGTGCTCGTCCACTTGTACAGCTTGGGACACCAATAGTGGCAACTCACCGAGCTGTACGTCTTTTCAAGGCCGAGTAATCACTAAGTGGGGTGTCGTGGGCATAATAGAGGATACGATATTTTAAATCTTATCGTGAGGAACCATAATTCATGGCGTATACGTTTAATAGGTGCTATAGAACAGCAACCCGTTACTCAACGAATATCAGTGTGATCGTGCACGCAAACGTGCCAACAGTCCGAGTTCCAACGCTACACTCATACTGTCACCGGCGTATGCGCGCGGGTCAAATCTGTCACTGACGATATCACCTCCGTGACATGAGCAA